ATTCTATTCTATTCTATTCTATTCTATTCTATTCTATTCTATTCTATTCTAACCCAATTCTTATTCACTGACATTATCATTTCCCTGATGCAGGCTTTTTACATGGAAATTCCATGGTGGTAGCTCTTTTCTTTAAAAACTGCAAATACCTCTGTAAATACAGGGGTGGGATGCTGCCGGTATAATAATAACCAGTTTGATGATATCACTTGCGTGCATGAACAGCGATGCAAAAATCCTTACCTGCTATGTTACTTTGGGGGAGTAACACAGATGAGGATCAGCAATCTGCTTTTCTGTGCCAATCAGCTGGGACGATAAAGGTCAGTACAGCACAGAGGCAAGTGGGTGGGCCCACATCGGTTCACTCCCAGCTTATCTTCGGAGCTAGGGGTTTGCCCGAATTGGCCCAAACTGACAGAATCCCACCGCTGTTTAAATAGCATTCTTTTCTTCTTCAAATACAGAGTACAATAAAGTGTCAGCTTTGGAAGCCATATTAGCACCAGACGCTTCCACACTGCCACATTCTTGAGCCTGGGAAAATGGGAGGGGGGAATTTCTTGGAGTGTATGTGGTTAGACATAAATAGCATTCTTCTTCTAAGTCAAGGTCATGTTATTTCTGCACCTGGTGGAGAGGACGTCTCAAGTTGGGACAGATGGTGATTGGGGCATGTGATGCAATGATGGGTGCAGGGGTGGATTTGTAATTTTTTACTTATTGCAAGGAAACCTGGAACTTTCAGATTCGGGATTTCCCAGATGTGCCAGTTTACTATTCAAATAAAAAGAACTCTGGAGACGATGTCTGTCTCAGAGTTATTTGTTGGAGTGGAGGTTTTCCGGAATGCTGACATCAAGCTTGTAATTTAATTATGTTAAATTAAACTCCTTAATTATGTTAATCCTATACTCAAGTACCTGGGAAGGGAATTTTATGTTCATACCTAGACAGTAGGAATTCTGTGGCAAGAAATAATGGCTACCCAGAGGTGTATGGAATAATCTAGACCCTATTTTTTTTCTTTTTACACTCCTGTAATCCCTTGCTTCAGGGTGAGGTCAGGACAACTGAGTGGAGCTGAGCAGTTACTAACCAGATGCCCTTCCTGACACCTACACAGAGTTCATAGCAGATATTTTCTCTTTGCGCCCTGATAGAGAAACATCTGTCGCTACCTAGGATTGAACGCTCAACCTTCCGAGGGAGAGGCACGCATCTTCACCTCTAAGTCATCACGTCACTCAATCTAGACCTTAAATAATGGTATAAAAATCCAGTTGGAACCACTATGCTTGAACAGATGTACCTATGGGCCATTGCAGGTGTAAGATGCCCTTGAAAAAGCTATGCAAGTTCCATTACCTAACGTATCTTAAGTCTATAGCAAATAGAAACTATGCTTAAGAGGCTATAATAGACACATCTCTAATTCTTATGAGTATAAGAAGGGGGAAAGGTATTGCACAGACTTGCAAGATTCTGTTATTTCAGCCTAATAAAAGCCCTTTCTGTAGAGTTCATTCCTTCTGGTCTACTTGGTGGAATTGGTATCACCATGTTTTGTTTTTATCTTCTTTTTTCTTTCTTCTTCTTTCTTTCTTTCTCTAACACCTTTGTTCCCTTTGCTATCCATCTGGTAAACTCTCAAGATTCATTTTTCTTGCTGTGTACATGTATACATCCAGACTGAACTGTGTCGTTTCTCTGTGTCATATAATATATGTGGGTATATGCATATTTATTTATTTATTTATTTGTTTGTTTGTTTACTTAGTCATTTTTATGGAGTTTATATTAGTGATGACCCTTTAAGAGCTGCGTGCAATGAAATTTCACTTTAATGTAGGCCGATTAGTGTACATTTAAAGTGACAATAATTCTATTCTATTCCATTCCATCCTATCCCATCCCATTTTCTTTCTTTCTTTCTTTCTTTCTTTCTTTCTTTCTTTCTTTCTTT